TGAAAAACTAAATTGAAATTAAAATTGAATTGAAATTGAAAAAGTAAAAGGGGTTCAACAGTAAATTTGGCTGACAAAAGTGACAATTAGTAAATTTGATCAATAAAAGAAAAAGAATGAAGAAAAATGAACAAAATGAAATGTGAAATGCGGGACATTATTAATACATCAAATATGCATAATGGAAGTACCAAGAGAGAAGAGGAAGAAAGGAAGGGGGGATATATACAGAAAACATAATTAAAAATGCATCAAGTTTATTTAAAAAACATTAACTTATATATCCAGGATGCTAAACAAACTTCATGTAGGATAACACAAAAAGAGCCACAAATAGACCATCCTAGTAAACATTCTCAAAGCCAAAGAAAAGAAGAAAATTTTACAGAAGTAAAATATAAAAATGTCTTGTCACTTTTGAACAAACTCCAATAAGATTAACTGTTAACTTCTCATCAGAAATAATGAAATCAAGAAGACAGTGGAATCACATATTCAAAGTACCCCCAAAAATCTCTCAAATAAGAACCCACACCCAGAAAAGTTATCTTTCAAAAATGAAGGCAAAATGAACTCCCCAAGTAAAAATAAACTGAGAGAATGTTTGCTAACACACTACCTTAGACAAAAGACAAAATGTAGTTTTTCAGAGTAATTCAAGAAAACATAGATGATAATTCAAATCCATGTGAAAAAGCAAAGGACACTAATAATGGTAATTACATTATGAAAAACAGCCTAAGTATATATTTCTTCTTCTCTATACTGAATTAACTCATGTGTATAAAATGATATGTATATAATGTATTGTTGAATATATATAATTTATTTACCAATAATAGCACAGAACAAGTGGATGGGAGCAAAGGTGGACTGGACTAAGGAAATATTCCAGAGGGTAACCTGAACTCAGAGGAGCAAATGAAGAGGACCAGAAATGATTGTGAGGATTAATCTGACAAAAATTATAAGCATATATTTGCTCTGCTATCTTCTTCAGCTTCCTTAAAAGTCATAAAATTATATAAAGTGCTAATTGTAAAAATATATTGTTGATTCTGAAAACACAGACTGAAAGTGAGTAAATGATAAAAGAAACATACTTTAAATAAAAAATTCCCACAAGAGACAAGATCATTATGAAATAATAAAGTGTCAATACATCAAGAGGATACAACAATTTTAAAACATATGCACCTAACTTTGAAGTACTTAAATACATAAAGAAGATATTATTGGAATTAAAGGGAGAAATAGAAGCAATACAATAAATAAGGAGACCTCAATATCCAACTTCCAAAAGTGGACGGATCATCCAGGTAGAAAATCAATAAGAAAACAATATACTTAAATGACATCATAAACCAAATGGGTCTAATAGACACGTACAGAACATTGTGTTCAACAGTTAAAAGAATACATGTTCTTTTTAAGTGCACAAAAACATTCACCATGATAAAGAATACATTAGGTCACAAAACAAGTCTTAAGAAATTAAAGAGGACTGAAATTATATCAACTACCTTTTCTAATCACAACGGTATGAAATTAGAAATAAATAACAGAAGAAGACATGGAAAATTTCCAAACATGTAGAAACTAAAGAACACTCCTGAACAACCAATGAGTCAATTAAGAAACCAAAAGGAAAAATATCTTGAAACAAATAGGAATGTAAATACAACATAACAAAACATATAATGCAGCAAAAGCAGTTTATAACAGGAAGGTTTATAGTAATAAAAACCTATGTTAAGAAAAACAAAAGAGCATAAAGACAACTAATGTTATACTTTAAGAAAGTAGGAAAAAAAGCTGAAGGTTAGTGGAAGAAAGGGAATACTTTACAGAGATTAGAGCAGAAATAAATAAAATAGGGACTAGAAGAACATAGAACAATAAAACTAAGAGACCATTTTATAAAAAGATAAAATCAATAGGTCTTTAGTTAGACTAAGAAAAGAAGACTCAAACTTACAAATAAAAAAGGAATACATTATAATCAATACCCTGGAACTACAAAGAATTATAAGAAATTATTATGAACAAATTGATAACACAGAATAAAATGAATGAGTTCATAGAAATATGAAGCTTACCAAAGCTGAATCATTAAGAAATAGGAAATCTGAATAAATTAATAATGAGTAAGGACATTAAATCGGTAATAATAATAAAAAACTCATGGAAGAAAAGTTCAAGGACTGATATTTTACTGGTGAATTTTACCAAACATTGAAAAAAGAGTTAATGCAAATCCTTCTCAAAGTCTTCCAAAGATGGAAGATGAGGGAACACTTTCAAACTCATCATACAAGACAAGAATTACCCTGATAGCAAAGGCCGACAAGGATACTACCAGACAAGAAAACTACAGGCTAACATAATATCCCTGATGCAAATATTCTCAGCAAAATACTAGCAGACCAAATTCAAAAGCACATTAAAATGGTCATTTATCATGACCAAGTGGGATTTATACCTTGTATTCAAGGATGGTTTGACATACATACATCAATAAATGTGATACACTACATTAATGAAATGAAAGATGAAAACCATATGAGCATTTCAACTGATACAGAGAAAGCACTTGATGAAATTCAACATCTTTCATGATAAAAACTCTCAACAAACTAGGTATAGAAGAAATGTCTCTCAACATGATAAAGACTGTATGTGTCAAGCCCACAGCTAACATCATATTCAATGGTAAAAATGGAAGATTTCTAAGATACAGGCAAAACAAGGATGCCCATTTTACTACTTCTACTCAACACAGTACTGGAAGTCACAGCCAGTACAATCACATAAGAAAAAGAAGAAGAAAAAAAAAAGACACCCACCAACACCCAGTTGAAAAGGAACAAGTAAATGTAAAATGTAGAAGACATGATCTTATATACAGAAAACCCTAAAGATACACACATACACACACACACACACAAAAAAAAACCTGATAGAACTAACACATGAATTCAGTAAAGTTTCAGAATTCAAAAGGTCAATATACAAAATCAATCACATGTCTATATGCTAACAGCTTTCTGAAAAAAATCAATTCCATTTTCAATAGCTTCAAAAATAAAATAAAATACTTAGGAATAAATTTAAATAAGGAAATTAAAGATTTGTACACTAAAAACTATAAAATATTAATGAAAGAAGTTGAAGAAGACACAAATGGAAAGATACTACATATTCACAGATTGGAGGAACTAATATTGTTAAGATGTCCATATTACCCTAAGTGATCTGAAGATTCAATGTAATCTTATCACAATTGCAATGACATTATTCACAGAAAAAAAGAACCTTAAAATTTATATGGAACCACAAAAGACCCCAAATAGTCAAAGTAATCATGAGCAAAAAGAAAAAACTTTTTTTTTTTACATTTGAGGTCTATAAAAAGAATTAAATCACAAGTAGGATTTATTCCAAGAATGCAAGCTTGGTTAAACATACAAGATCAATTAATGTAACATACCATATCAATAAAATTTTAAAAAACAAGTAAATAATCATCTCAGCAGATATAGATAAATCACTTAATAAAATATGATGCTCTTATGATAAAATCATTCAACAAAATAAAAGTTCCTCAGCCAAATAAAGAATATCTATTTTAAAAATCCATAGTTATCATAATACTGAATGGTAGAAAAGATCCATTTTTAAAATGGCCCCTAATACAATTGAAAAATGACTTATAAATCCTATTCATGGATATCTATCACAAATAAATATACACTGTGTCCTATGGATATGCAGCAATGCAGCACTATTCCTAGAAACAAAATGCAAGAGCATCAATAGGGCAATGATTGAATAAATCATGTGACATTCAAAGACAAGAATACTACACATTCACTACAGTGGACCAAAGCCAAAGCAATTGTCTCTGAGAGGCTTCAGTGGAGGTTTTTCTCCATGTGGAATGCAAGATACAGAAAACCGTATACAAAATATTCTATAAATAAATGATAAAATCTGTTATGTACATGCTTATTTATATAAAAGTATTGATATATATGAATGGAAATAACATATGCACATACCTAGAAATATGTACATTATATGAGCTTAGGGTAAAATATGAAAGAATATATTCTAGATTATTCATATGGATTAGTCGGGGTGGAATAGGGTGTTGTTGGGGAAAGGAAGAAAAAGAGAAATAACAATAAATAAAAGAAATAATTACCTTTCAAGTTAGAGAGAGTTGGTTTGTTCCTCTCAAAGCTACCGTGGTTAGCTCCGTGGTAGATAGCTTTCAGTGAATTTTCTGGTACAGAATTTATTGTTGCAGCCATACTTATGAGAAAGTGTGCCTTAACCATATAAAATTTATTTAGAAGATGCTGTTGGCCAATCATAACCAGAACTACAGGCGAGCCTCTATTTATTAATTCATCAAGTGCCTAAAAAATGGAAAAAGTAGGCAGGAGTAAGTCAGTAAAATTCTAAAAGTTATTATTAGTTTTATTCCCCAATTGCATTCTCCATTTTGTGCTGGAGGAAAGAATATAGGAAAAGATAGGAGATTCCATAAGTGGCAGTTATTATGGTTAAGATTTTCTGTATTTGAAACATTTGTATTATTTTTACTGGTGCATGATAATTATATGTAATAGTTGGATTGTGTCGTATTCATACATGTACGTAATATAATTTGATCCGTTTTGTTCCACAGTACATCTCCTTGCTTTCATCTCCCTAACAGTTTCTTTTAAATTTTCACGAGATCCCCTTTTCCTCTTTAGCTTCCACATATTAGAGAAAACATATAATCCTTTACTTTCTGAGTCTGGCTTATTTTATATAACATTATGCTCTCAATTCCATTCATTTTCCTATAAATGACATAATTTTGCTCTTCTGTAGGCTGAATAAATTTCCATCATGTACACATGTCACATTTTCTTTAACCATTCATCTGTTGATAGGCACCCCAGCTGGTTCCAGAACTTGGCTATTGTTAATTGCACTCATCAGTATACAGGTATCTCTGTAGTATGCTGAGGTCAATTCTTTTGTATAAATACTGAGGAATGATATAGGTGGGTTATATGGTGGTTTCATTCTTCATTTTTTCAGAAACCTCCATATTGATTTCCATAGTGGTTGTACTAATTTTAATTCCTATTAAGAGTATATAAAAGTTCCCTTTTCCCGTATCCTCACCAGCATTTATTGTTATTAGCATTCTTGATAACTACCATTCTAACTGGAATGAAATGAAGTCTCAGTGTAGCTTTGATTTGTACGTTCTCAATGGCTACATATGTTGAACATTTTCTTCATAAAACTGAAAGCTGTTTGTACTACTTTTTTTGAGAAATGTCTGCTTCGTTCATTTGACCATTTATTGATTGAATTATTTGGGAGTTTTTGTTTGTTTAATTGTTTTGTGTTATTTTGGTTTTTAGTGTTAAGTTTTTTAAGTTCTTCCTATATTCTGAATATTAATCCTCTGTCAGAAGACTAGCTGGCAAAGATTTTTTCCCATTCTGCAGGCTCTCTCTTCATGCAATGGTCTCCTTTGCTGTGCAGCTTTTTAACTTGATTCCATCCCATTTATTTATTCTTGTTATTATTTCCTGAGCTTTAAGAGTCCTGTTGAATTTTTCCTGCACATTTATGTTGGAGTGTTTCCCTGGGCTTTTCTTCTAGCAGTTGAAAAGTTTCCTGTTTTATTTCTAGGTCTTTGTGTTCACTTTTGTGCAGGATGAGAGACAGAAATCCAGTTTCAGTCTTTCACATATGGATATCCAGTTTTTCCAGCACTAACTGTTAAAAAGCTATCTTTTGTCCAATCTATGTTTTTGGTGTCTTTGTCAAGGATCAGATCACTGTACCTGAGGGCATTTGTCTCTGTGTCTCTGTTCTGTTCCATAGGTCCATACGTTTGTTTTTATGCCAGTACCAGTACCATGCTGTCTTTGTTTCTATGACTCTGGAGTGTAATTTGAAATCAGATATTGCAAAGCCTCCTGCATTGCTCTTATTGCTCAGATTTGTTTTGGTTATTCTGTCTTTTGTTTTTCCACATGAATTTTAGAACTGCTTCTAGTTCTGTGAAGAATTTTATTAGTATATTCATTGCTTTGAATTTGCAGGTCACTTTGGTAATACAGCTATATTAATTCTGCCTATCCATGAACATGGGAGGTCTTTCCATCTTCTAGTGTCTTCTATTTCCCTTTTCTGCAATTTCACTATAGAGATCTTTTACCTCTTGGGTTAGATTTATTGTAAGTATTTTATCTTAGTATTTTTGAGCTATTGTTAAATAAAATTGTTTTTCTGATTTCCATTTTTAAATTTTTTTTTCTGATTTCTTTCTCAGTGGATTTATTATTAATATATAAAAATGTATTGATTTTGTATGCTGACTTTTGTATAATGCTACTTTGCTGAATTTGTTTATCAGTTCTATAAGTCTTACAGTAGAGTTTTTGGAATCTTCTAAATATAAAATCCTATCATTTGAAAAAAATGATAATTTAATTTCTTTCTTTCCTATTTGTATCCCTTTTATTTCCTTCCCTTGTTTAATTTCTCTGACTAAAATTTCAAGTGCTATGTTAAATAGAAGTAGTGAGAATGGACATCTTATTTGGTTCCTAATTGGAGAAGAAATTCTTTCAGTATTTTGTCATTCAATATGATAATTGGCTTTGTGTTTGTTGTATATAGTTTTTGTGATGTTGAGGTAAGTTTTTCTGTCCTTACATTCTTCAAGGTTATCATCATGAATGGGTGCTGAATTTTGCCAAAGGCCTTTTCTGCATCTATTGAAATGGTCATGTGGTTTTTATTCTTGATTCAATTTATGTGGTGTATTACAATTATTGATTTGTGCATGTTGAGCTATCCTTGAATCCCTGGAGAAAAAATCAACTTGATAATGGTGTATAATATGTAATACATTGTTGAATTTGTTTTATTAGGGATTTCTACATCTTCATCAAGGGCAGTGGTCTGTAGTACCCCTCCTTCCCTTGATATGTCTATACCTGGTTTAGGTATTGGGATGATACTGGCTCCAAAGAATGAGTTAAAAATATTCTCTATATTTCATGGAATATTTTGAGAAGTATTGGCATTAGTTCTTTAAAAGTCTATAGTTGTGAATCTATCTAATTCTGTTTTTTTTTGTTGTTGTTTGTTTGTTTAAAGGCTTTTAATTACTGCTTTAATCTCATTGCTTGATATTGGTCTATCTTAGTTTTCTATATCCTCTTGGTTCAATTTTGGTAGGTCATAGGTGTTTACAAAGGTATAAATTTTTTTGAGAATTTTCCAATATTGGAATATAAGTTTTCAAAATAGTGAGCTATTGGATATGTGGTGTCTGTTGTGATCTCCTTTTGTCTCTAAGTTTATTAACTTGACTCTTCTCTCTCTTTTGGTTTTATTGATCTTGTTTACCCATTCAAAAACCTGTTTCACTGACAGTTTGCAGGGTTTTAAATTCTCTATTTCATTAATTTTGGCTCTAATCTTTATGGTTTCTTTACTTCTACTTATTTTGGGATTTGTTTGTTCTTGTTTTCCCAGGACTTTAAGATGCATCATTAGGGCATCTATTCGGTATCTTTCTGAGTTTTTAATGAAGGCACTCACATCTTAGAACCACCTTCACTGCATCACAGAGATTCCCATATACTGTATATCTATTCTAATTTGATCCTAAGAATTTTTTAATTTTTCCTCTATTTCTCCTATGACCCACTCTTCATTCAAAAGTGTATTGTTCAATCTCCATGGATTTATATAGTTTTTATTGCTTTTTATTTCTAATTTCATTTCACTGAGATCTGATAAGATGTAAGAAATTATATCAATTTTTTTGTATTTTCTTTTTTTATTAGTTGCTCAAACAATACAATGATCTTGACATATCATACATTTGATTCAAATGGGTATGAATTCTCATTTTTCCACATGTACAGATTTCAGGATCACATTGGTTATATATATACACATTGGTGTATATATACAGCAATCCTAGTGTCAGTTGTATTACAATTTTTTTGTATTTTCTAAGAATTGTTTTGTGGCTTAAAAAACAAAAAGATCTATTTTGGATAAGGTTTCATGAATAGCTGAAAAGAAAGTGTATTCAGCTTCTGTTAGATGAAATATTCTGTAGACATCTATTAAGTTCATAGTAAGTTGTAAATCTGTAGATGTACTATCTTTGCTGATTTTATATCTGGATGACCTATCAACTATATGTTGCCTAAAAGAAACACATGTCATAGGCAAAGACATCTGCTGGCGGCAAGTGAGAGAGATGTACTGAAATCACCCAATATTGTTTCATTGGGACCCAACTGAACCTTTATGTCAAATAGTATTTATTTTCTGTAATTAAGTACACCAACATTTGGGGCAAAAACATTTATTATCATTATATTTTTCCATTGGATTGTTCCCTTTACTAGTAAGCAATAACCTTCTTTGTGGCTAATTTGGGCTTGAAGTCTTTTTTGTTGTTGTTGTTGGATATATTTGCTTTTGAGTTCCATTTCAATGGAATATCATTTTCCACTCTTTTACTTGCCGCCTGCAGATGTCTTCGCCTATGATATGTTTCTTTTACGCAACATATAGTTGAGTCTTCTTTTTTAATCCAATATGCCTACCTATGTCTTTTAGTTATAGAATTGAGACAATTTACATTTGTCATAATTATAAAGAGGTGTTTATTACTTCTTGCCATTTTTATTTATTCCTAATAAATAATCCTAATTCTCATTTGCTTATCTACTCTTCTAATGAGATTTATTCTTTCATAAGCACTCTGTCATTTCCCATCAATTTCTGACCTCTGTCTCATGTGGCTAGCCCTGACATATAATAGGGGTGAACTTAATCCTTGGAGTGAGAGAAAGGATACCTCATCGAAATAGATAAACTGCACAAAAGTCATCATCTATGCACAAAGACCACTCTGTTTTAGTGTAAGAAGTAAATTAAAGACTCTTGGACAGAAATGAATGAATAGACAAGCAGTCTCCCTTCCCAGCTTAGAATCCATGGTCAATCATACTCTTCCTTGTATATACCGTTAACCCTTGCCCCTCTCCCTCACGCACAATACACCTGCCTGGTAATCATAGGCACAACCCTGAAATCAAACTTTAAGTCATCTTAGGGTCTGCGATTGAAGAAGACCTGCGAAGATTACACAAACTCACAAGTGGCCCTACTTGAAGTACTCACCCCAAACCTCAGTGCTGCCTAGTAATCATTCTAAATTTTGCCAGTCTACTCATTGTCCTTATCTCCCATACAATCATTTCAATGTCCTTCTCTCCTCCAAATTCTAATCCTTTCTTCCTTCTCCTTCTCCCAACTAATGATCTTTGCCTTCTCCATTAAAATGAGAAAACTGAAGCGGAGTAGATCATCCAAACCCCATTGCTCCAACTATTTCACCTATCTAAGCATCTACTCGTCAGAGTTCCACTTTCCTTCTCTCTGCCTAAAGCTTTTGCTCCCACTTAGACGGTCAGTCCTGTCCCCATTGACCCTCTCAGTCATTCTCTTCTGTATCGCTCATTCACTCCTGCATCACAAATGTTTCCCGCACCGACATTTCTATCAGCACATAGCCATGCTATTGTCTCCTTCGACAAAAAAACCAAAACCCTTTATAACCTACTTTCCTTCTCAAGTTACTCCCCTAATTCCCTGCTACTCTTCACGGAAACCCTCTTAAGAATTGTCAATATTCTGCATGACTGGTGTAACTCCACATCATGCACAACCACAAGAATGGGAAGTTACACTCCATGTGTGTATAGCATGTCAAAATACATTATACCGTCATGTATGACTAAAATGAACAAATAAATTTTTTTAAAAAAAGAATCGTCAATATTCTAATTTCTATCATTTAATTTGCTTTTAAACTCACTCCATCTCTACATTCAAACCCTTTGGTCAAGATTACTAATGCCTACACTTGGCTAAATCCATGTTCAATTCTAGTCCTCATATATATGCTATTTCTAATCTGTTATTTTATGTGCACATTAAACTGTCATATCATCATCTCTAAGTTGCATTCTAATTTCAAAGATGTTAAATGTGAAAAAAATCACATTTAAGACTGAGTGATTTATGATACTTAATTTTAGACTATTTATCATCTCCCTCCTTCTCAAGTGCTTTTTTCTCTTGCATTTTGGGCTACCACACTCCTTTTACTTCCCTCATATCCTACTAGCCACCACTTTTCATTCTTCTTTGGTGGTACTTCTCTTATCCTGTACCTCTTAATACTGTAGTCTCTCAGAACTCAGTCCTCACTCTCCCCTTAGATGATCTTAATCAGGCACTTGGTTTTATTTCATCTAAAAGCTGATGAAATCATGAGCTCTTTACTCTAGGTCCAATCTCCCTTCTGGAATCAAAATTCACAATATAAAGAACCAACAACTCCTCCACTTAGATGTCTAAGACGTATCTCAAACTCCTGTGTCTAAAACTATATTCCTACTCTCCCCTCCTAACCAACCCCTACACACAAGCTTCACAAGGACTGAGGATGGGTCTATTTTGATGACTGGTGAGTTTAAACTATTTTCAGAATCAGAACAGTACCTGCCACACAGTGGGATCAACAGATAAACCAAAGCTGTCCACACCTCTGCTCAAAGCCCTTCCAGTGGCTTTCCATTTTTCTTATATAAGACTAAGTTACAATGTCCCTATAAGGCCCTTCTTAATTTTACATCTCTGACTTTATGTCCTATGGCTCCTCACTACAGCTGTAGACACTGGGCTCAAGGTATCTCTCACCAAGAAAGACAGGGCCTTTGCACTTGCTATTCCCTCTTTCTAGATTGTTCTTTCTCTGGATTGCATATGTCTTACCCCTTTACCTGTTTTGGGAATGCTCACACAAGTCACCTTAGTGAAGACTAAACTGATAGCCCCATTTAAAATTAAAATATTCACTCTACCCCATGCTCCCAACCCCTTTCACCTACTTCTGGGTTTATTTTTCCCAAGCAAGGTTCTCCTACTTGCAAAATACATACTTTACTTGTTTATAATGTTTACTTATATGTTATGTTTATTCCTATTCCTGTGTGTTACTATAAGCTCCAGGAGGACTGAGGTTTGTCTGGAGTGCTAATTGATACATTTGATTGACATCATTAATCTGTGCCTTGCATACAACAGGTTCTTCATAGATATTTTTGGAGTTAATATAAAAGGAGCTACCTATTCTATAAAAGAGGGAAACTATTTGCCTTATGTAAGTATAGTAATTAATATTGCTTGGGAAAGTTTGAAGCAACCATGGCAGTGGGGATGTTTGTTGTTATTGTTCATTCTCTTTTCTGAATCTTTTCAAAAGAGTTGAAATTGATGCATTCAGAAAAGCAGCACATAGAACAGCCACTGGGCCTGACTTTCTGCCAAGCTGTTGCATTAGGAAAATGGTTGACCCTTTCTTTCTAAAGGAGAAATTTCAGATGGACTAGGGGTGAGGAGAGAGGACACATTCTCTTCTCTTTTTCTATCATAGCAAGCAGTGATTTAATGAGCCTTGACAATTACACACAAACACTTGAGGATCAAAGGAAGATTAATTAGTAATGCTATTTAACACTCCTTTCTCTCCCTCTATGCAGAAAATACAAAGTGTAATCTGAAGAGTCTTAAGTGGGCCAACAGTACTGTTTTAATTAATTAGCTATTAGAAATCAGGTTTCCATTATACTGTCAGTCTCTTTTTGTATAAAAAGAAACGATCAGACAGACATTCTTTTTATATCAAAAACTGCTCCTAGAGGCACTGTTTTTAGGATAGTCTAGCATTTATGATTGAAAAGTCATAAATACTCTTAAAACCCCCAAGGTCTTGGAGCACTAAAATAAGATAAGAATATGTATTTATATCTTCCTAATATCAGTTCTTTCATTTCAGGCAACTTCCTTATAAATTAAAATTAAATTTTAAGCAAAAATATTGAATCATACAAAGCATAATTAAAAGTAGACTTTGTGTAATAAACAATAATAGGAAAAAATTAAGTTTACATTTAATAAAAGGTAGACCTATTTCTATTAAAATTATGGAAGAGGAAAAAAATAATTTTGAGGAAGTATCTCTCAAGTTATTTAATTTTAAAAAACCACCTTATTTAAAATAGGATACTGTTTCATAGGATTTAAATATTAAATAAACCTATGTGTAATCTCTGTCCATGTTAACTGTAGACTCCTTCCCCATCTCTAATATCTTGTAATCATACTTGTGATACAGCACTCTGTCCCAGCATTTTCTAGGGCACAGACTACCAATATCCCTAGAATTTTTTAAATAATTATTTGAAGATATTTAAATGCTACTAGGATATCAAATGCTTAAAATTCCAATCATTCAATTATTGACTACCCTAAATGTATTTAGATGGGCAGTCTCATTTTCTTCATGTGGAAAAATATTGGAAAAATCAGAGGAGCAACTTAATGAAAATGCCAAATGAAAACTGCCAAACCATTGGCTGACAGACTAGGAACTGGCAACAAACTGGGCCATTTCAAAATAGACAGAACCCTTTTCTTACAATCAGAGTTACCCGGTAGGTAACCAAATAAATATTAAAGTTAGAGATAATTACCATGGCTAGATGAGCAAATTCAATACACATCTTTATGAAAAACAGGAGCAGTAACAGTTATTTGCTAGAACAGTTTGATCCAATCCTACCTCTGGCTTCAGGATGTTGAGATACAACTCCACTATTAGAAATAGGAAAGCATATTATATACAAGATTTCCCAAACCAAAGATTATACTTACTGGATAGTTGAAATGACTCAAAAATTATCAGCACTAAAAAAAAAATTATCCATGCTACATAGCCAATGTTTAAAAAATATTATTATCCTTACCTGTATGTTTTCTTTGTTGGTAAGAGGTTTTCCTGAATCAAATGACTGAAACAACTGTCAAAAAAGCAAAATATTAACAGTAGGAACCAGATTATTTGAATATTCTTTTCAATGAAACTATTAATGTGTACCATTTTTATTGTAAAAGTAATATATGCTCTATTCATAAAAAATACATTTTGCTGCCAAGAAAACATTGAAAAGTTAGTAACTGAATGTGGTGATGGTGGTATCTCTGGTGGTGTAAATTGAAAAGAGTTCATAGTGGGACCTTAGATTTGGTGATAAGAGCAGAATCTCAATATAAATATAATGTTAAAATATAGAATTTTTAAAGGACTATGAAAAGTTCAATAGTAATCCATAAATTTTTTTTTTCAGTTACTTCCTTTACAAGTGAAACTTAATTCATTAATCCCTTCTTTAAATAACTGGCCTGCAGCCTAATAACATTGGCACCTATTTTAATTATAAACCCTGAAAGCATTTCCTCTTTTAATTACACTTTTTAAATTCCCAATTGAAGCTGGAAAGCTGCAAATTAACTTTGAGAATACAAAATTTGAAGTCAGAATCTATTGGGAGATAATTCGCCCACACAGTTATCTTATGAAGCTTGTGGATAAAAATGAAGGCTGGAATTTACATGTAAAAATTAGTTCCAGACTTTTTGATTGTTTATTTGGGTGAAAACTGTGGCCATTGAAAATTCTCATTTCTCATTATTCTACCCAATTGGTTTCTTTCCTTCTCATCTTCTAAATGTGGATGACGTAAAGTTCAGTTTTCTCTTTTCTAGATTTCTCTGTCTGCCTGGGATCCTAGCTGATTGCACCTAGTTCTATGGTTTTAAATCTCTATGTTAATGCTTCCATTAACATACCTGCAACCCCAACCTCTCCCCTGGATTACAGTCTCTGCCTCTATATATGCTACATCACAACCTGGTTGTCTACTATGGATCTCATATTTATCATGTTCAATTCCTGCTAGGAGCAGCATTCCCCTTCTTGGTATATGAAAACTTCTTCCTACCAGTTGTTCAAGTTGAACATTCTGCAGTAACTTTGACTTAAGTCTCTTACATCCCAAACCTAAACCTTTATTAGCAAATGCTGTCAGCTCTATCTTCACAATACACCCAGAACAGAACCACTGCTCACTCCCTCCACCACTATTACTCCAAATATTATCATATCTCAACCAAATTGCTTGCATCAGCCTTCTCATTGGTTTCCCTATTTATACCTTGCTTGCTCACAGTTTATTTCACAAAAAGCAAACAAAGTAGTTCATTTATATTTAATTCCTATCATTTCATGTCTCTGCTCAAAACCCTTGTCAGTCTTGGTTTCCCAAGGGGTAGAAAGTAAATTCCAGTCCTGACTGAGCCTCAAGAGGTTTTACATAACCTGGCTCCTGGGTTCTACCCTCCTCTTCTCTTTCCTGAATTCTCATTTGGCCTTGTTGTTTTCCCTCAACCACATCTTGCAAGCATCCTTCTCAGAGCCTTTGCCTTTATAGTTCCTCCCACTTGGGAGGCTGTTCCCACAGATCTTTCCATGTTCAATTTCCTCAAAACCTGGTTATTAGAGACCGGCCTGAATAAAACAGCAACCTGAGCTGCCCTGGTTACTAGTTCCCCTCAGTTCAGCTGGATTGACCCTCATACCTCCACCTGACCTATACTTATGTGCTAAATATGTTTATTATTTGTCTCCCCCCTGGACTATGAGATCCATTTGTTCTTTACTGCTCCATCCCCAGTCTAGAAAAATACCTATATTCAGTAAGCACTTGAGAAACATTACACGTGAGTTAAAATATAATTTTAATAGCAAAATACAAACCATTTGTAATAGGGAAAGACTGTTGATTAAGATTCAAGCAAGAAAATACTACTAACTTAATCCAGGCAAGAAGATGAATTCATTTATACAACAAAAAATGAAGGAAATAACCAACTAACTCCTCTCCTGATGGATAGGAAGGTAGTAGATAAACAAACAGGTAGACAAACACATACATATCCACACACATACATACCATGTATGCCATATAACACATAGATATTCTTTATATGTATAGATATAGATATATAGATGTTTATTTATTTACTTATTTTTTGCAGTGCTGGGGATTGAACCCATAGCTTCATGCATGCTAGGCAAGTGCTCTAACACTAAATTACACACCCTCCCTATAATAATAAATTACAATGTTGTAGCAGTCATATGGAATAAAAAGAAGTACATTTTAGGGGAATATGCTGATGTAGTAGACACAATATGTAAAATATAATGTCAGCTTATGCAACTGATTTCCAAGTCTTACAGATAATTCCCCCAGGTTCTTTTAGGTCCTCTAAATTCAAATCACACCAGAATGTATTATGTCTGTCAGTCTCACTCCTCACACATATGGTTTCCCTCAGGCAAAGGGACTTTCTACCCTGCCTCTCACCCATTTCCTTTATTCTTGGCTCACATGGATCCAAGCATCTGCCTACAGCATCTGATTCCCAGATCACCATGAAGACCAAAGCAGAGGAAAATAATAACTCAATCTGATTTAATTTCTGCTTTCATCATGAACTCTAGTACTTGTTTTCAAGAATTCTCCAGTTATCTAGTTTATAAATACAAATCAAGTGATCCAGGTAAAACTGTCTCCTAAAACCAAACATTCTAGGCAAAATGGAGAAGAATGTTCATTCCCCACAGAACTCAGAAGAAATCTGAACAAAATATTCTCAATTCTTTGATGTGATGTTTATCAATCAAAAAGGTCCAAACAAGTTATAAGGAGAGATTATTTTGAGTAAGAACATTAACCAGAAATTATAGGATTAGACTAAAAGACCTAAAATGTGTTGGCTGATGTGTCTAAAGAAATGGCTTATAATAACTATAATAAAAAGCAATATTCACTGTCCCTGTGCCAGAGTTCCATTGCAAAAATTTACTACAGAACCTTGCTATATCCCTCATGACACTGTGCTATTCCAGATAGATGAAAACTCATAAAATCTGATATTAGCTGTAACCAGATTTAACAAAGCAGTGTGGAGTACTGGAGACATGTAAATACACTGTTGTTGGAATATTTCCTAGATTTTAGAATTATAACCTTCGAAGACAAAAAACAGTTCAAATTAGTAAGTTACCTTAATTTTTCCAGTAGCTTTAAAACCAGAAGGCACTGGGCAAGGCATATTTTTCCCATAAAATATCAGGGTTAACTCATAAAAGGCCTCAGAAAAGAAGTGCAAATCTGTTAGGACTTCTATCTGTAAAGAAAAAAAAGATTTTAAGTTAAATAGTTTGTTTCACTTACAAAATAACCAACTCTGAGATCCAAAATTTCTGCTTAGTGACAGTAAAGTATTATGAATTAATGTTTACTAGCTAGGGAGTGGATGGATCTTCACATGTCTGTACACATGCCATTTTACATGTGTGATGAACCCAGAAGCTAACGAACAGGAACAGGAAGGTGTTGGAAACAGTGGGCAGTTATAAGAGGTTGCTTACTTCATCAGAGGCAAACACACAGAAATAATATAGCCATGGAAAAGTCTTAAAAGTAATTCTGTTCCCATGGTAAATGGTGGCTTAAAAGAAAAACAAAGCTAAAACTCTCCTGATGTTCTCTAGGGAAAGTAAAAAAAACCAGGAGACTAACTCCACAACATATCAGTATAGAGACAACTACTAATTTTCTTATCCATAATTAATAGCTTAACATTAATTGATCACTATGCATTTTACATGGCTTATTTTGAATATAAACCAGCAGGACTACTGGGAAATGATATAAAGAAAAGATCAAATTCAAATTCATGTGTTCATTCAACATGTTTATAGGGCACTTCTTAAACAGTAAGCACTCTTGGAGGTTCCACACCTTTGGATGCACATTTAGGTAAATGTAGGTGATACATGAAGACACAATATGAGGAAGCATGGAGTCTGACAAAGCGCTACTTTTGAGACTGGGATCAGGAAGAACAACTGTGAGGGGGAGACATTCAAGAGAAGAGATGGTAATGACATAAGCCACAGAGTCTTATGAGAATTTGCCAAGAGGATCCTGAGAATAAAGGTCATGTGATGGGAGCAGTTTTGTATCCTAGAGTGTTCCAAGAACAGCCTGTGTGGCTGGAACTCAGCAGTTGAGGGGAAGAGGGTGGGAAGGTGGGTATGACAGTAGATATGACAGTCATATAGAATCTGTAGGTCCCAGGAGGAACTCTCTTTCCTATGGGGTAAGAAATTATTAGAGGCTTTGGAACACAGCCTTAATCTGACTGGTATTTTGAAAATATCCAGAGACTTTGGAGAGAATAGAGAATGAAAGGATACAATGTGCTCACAGGGAATAAAATGCAAAGTTGGATAAAGATAAACACACACACACACACACACACATGCATATACACACACACACACACGCAATTTATGTTATGTATATGCATATATATATTTCTATTATATATTTTATATATAAAGCGAAAAAATAAATTTATCCTTAGCATTTCAATCTATCTTACTCTCTGTTTTTCCTTTCACTACTAGTTTAGGAATCTCAAGAGTACATAAACCTTAAGGAAATAGGTAAGTTAGGGGAAAATTGGTTATACAAATAAAGCCTGAAAGGCCAGGAGAACATTGATGGGAAAGAGGAAGTTGCTTGTTTATTGAGTGCAAACTGTGTCATCTTTCCTAAGACACCTTAATCTCTAGCCTCCCCAGTGCCACCTAGCACCAAAGTAGACATTCAGAGAGACATGGAAACCCTTTCAGGTTTCTAGATGGCCATTTTTTCTCATTATTCCTATAAGAAAACCCTTCCCAGGATCTGTGTGTGTGTGTTAGTCTCCTCTGGTCTTGACTCTAAGAGTCTGTGCATGGACATCTGTCAAGGCTATCTCTGGTTGCAGTTTATCGTACCAATCTGACTGTTTAGAAAAGGAATGCTGTTAAGAATAGACATAATATTTCCAGAAGTGACCAATGCCATGAACACAAACAAGCCAGAATAGACAAAAAGAACTGGCTATATAAATCAACCCTTCACTCACACAAATACAGAACTATCAGTACCCTTCCTAGGAATGTTTAATATGTGCAGAAGAATAAATCTTTGATGAGGTCGACAGATCCAGAGTGAAGCCAGACCAGTTGATCGTCAAGAAGTTTTACAGCTTCCCCTGAAAGAGACTAGTACACACAGAAACTGAACAGAATGATGGATTACTGGGTACATTGTCAGAAAGCATCATTGTTTGCTGTTTCCTGATTGACTTCTCTTTCTTACCACTCACTGACCGCAGTTTGCTTCAGAAAGGTCCAACAAACTTTGCTCAGAAGGCTGTTATTTCTTCCTCTGTGAGATCTATCAGTAGTTGCTCTTTTATATTGCATCTGTTATTGCAGCTGTCAAACCCCTAATTCAGTTTTTCAATCCTAATAAGCCAGTAAGATCTTCTTCTGTCTCATCCTCCTCCCAACACTGTCACCAGATACAAGAATGATGTCATTCTCCTGATCAAAATTCTAGAATCCCCCATCCAACCCAAACCTGCAGAAGACAGTCCACAGTTCTTCACTGATTTTTATTTTTTATTTTGTTTTTAAAAATTTGGTTTTTAGTTGTAGTTGAACACAATACCTTTATTTACTTTTATGTGGTGTTGATATTGAACCCAGGGCCTTGCATGTGCTAGGCAAGCACTGAGCCACAACCCCAGCCCACAACCCCACAACCCCACCCCACAACCGCAGCCCCCTTCACTGACTACTCCTGAATGAAAACAGCTGCCACATGCTAACAAACTGCTGTGGTTTGAATGTGATCTCCAATTGTTCCTGTAGTAAAACTTAGTCTCTGAATTCACATATTGATGATATTTGGGGGGTGAGGCTATTAGGAGGTGATTAAGATTAGATGATATCATGAGGATGGGGTCCTCATAATTTTATTAGTTGCTTATAAGGAGAGGAAGGGAGATCTGAATCTATGCCTGCTGATCTCTCACCACATGATACATTCTGCCATGTTAAAATGCAGCAAGAAGGCCCTCAACAGATGCAGCCCCTGGATCCTGGACTTCCCAGCCTTCAGAACTCTGAGAAATAGATGTATTTTCTTCATAAATTACCCAATCTCAGATCTACTGTTGAAGCAACAGAAAAAAAAAAGACTAAGACAATAAACAAAAGTCATCTAACCAAAAAGTTTGTTCTGAATTCTGACTTTCAGGCCCCCCCGGGTCTCCTCCTGATGCTTTAATGGCCACTGCAACCCCGCCATGCTGCCTTCCTCTTAACAACAGAACAGAATATACCTGTTATCCAATTCTGACTCCACATTTCCCCCATTTCTCTCACTGCACAACCTCCCCATTATGTCTTCACAGTCTGGACTTCAAGCCGGGTCCCTGGTTTTCTCCATACCATGGCGCTCTGGTGTTTCTCATATTACCTTCTGCATCCTCCTTGATCAGAACCTCCGCTTCAGGGTGACTGAACCATCGCTGCCCCCTAAGCAAGTCCATACTTTTTTACCTCTGTATCTTTCACACTGTTTTCTGCCAAGAACATTCCCTTCCTCCTCTCTCCCACTCAGTTGTAGGCTTTCCAAGTCTAAATTCTTATCTTCTTATTGAAATCTCAAGGCTAAAAGCCATTTTCCCCTCTTTAAACTCTTGGAGACAAAGCTCAATAAGTTAATTTGCAAATGATAAAGTGACAAGTACATATATGTGACTTGTGTATATGTCCCATCTCTCTTCCCGGTTCTCAAAGCAAGGAAGGACCATGAGTGACGTTTCTTGGACTCAAGTTACTAACATGGTGTTTTTAAATAGGAAGTACTCAGTAAAGGTTGTTTTAGAATTAAATCAATGAACATTTATTAAGTATTTTCTAGGTTAGCTCCACTAACACTAAATAGAATGTACACAGCAGATATTTTATAGATGTCTGCAAATTTTAAATTCAATCCAATAATTAATGACTGAATATCAAGAAAGTGAATTTATTTCTCAAGTTAGTGTAGGAAATTAAAAAATAAATAAGATATAGCCCTAGCCTTAAGAACTTTGCAATCTTAAAGAGACTACTGTTGAGAGACTGGGAAAGTTATATGCAGTTTTAAGAAATGTGTTTTTGAAATTCAAAAGCAAGAGAGTTCATAAGAATCAATAACTCAGAGAAGGTGATCCAGAAATTTTCACGATCAACAATGAATTATTTATTCTTGAGGTTAAAATATATAGTAGCACCAAAAGTCCTCTTAGGAATTGCTTTATTTATAATTAGAGGACAATGGACTTTTCTCAGAGGCCCAAAGGGTCTGAATGAGATAGTAGTCCAGAGGGAAAGCTAAGCTTTCCTCATTAAAAAACAGGAGGGATGCAGGTAAAAAATGAAGGGTACTTCCAAAAAAGGAAGAAGAGGTGTGCTGGAATATAGTGCTGGAGGCCACTCACTCCTAATTGCAAGAGCTGATTATGTGTCTTCAGTGACGACTTGTGGGTAATTTGAAGACAGCCATGGTGGGTGCATTCACAAAATGGAAGAAAACTGAAAAATACAAATCAGCTTTAAAAAAGAGCTCACATGAATCATTTTCCAGCATACACTTGATTATGCCACAGGAAGAGAGGCAAAAGCATAAAATGATGGCCAAGAAGTATTTTAAGCTCAAGAATGCCAAATATTCTATTTTAAATTATTTGTACTTCAATTTTCCTGTTTTCCCAAAATTCAGTAAAGTGCACAAAAGAAACAAAGGTCCTAGGTAAATATGTGTGTTTATGTATGAGTACAACAGTATGTGTGTACGTGTGTGTGTGTACGTGTGTGTGTGTGTGTGTGTGTGTGTGTGTGTGTGTGTAGAAAAATGAATGGGGTTGAATTCCATTTAAGAGTTAAGGAGAGATCCAAGATGGCGGAATAGAGGAGGTCCTGTTTCTAGCTGCTCTGTGGAATTAACCAAGAAAACAGTCAGGTGGCATCTCAACAAAGTCTCACCTCGATGGAATACAACATCTCAGAGCGAGCGACAGGACCCCTTTACATCGGATTTTCACAGAAACCACCAGAGCTGCCACCACCTGCACAGACATCAGAGCTTCTTATTTCAGTAAGACTCCGGACTCCAGACCCAAAGCCTGCAGTTCTAGCGCACACACACTCTGAAGCAGTGGAGCAGAATCACCTAATCAGCTGTGCTCCACTCCCATGCAGGTCACATGGCTGCAATCTAGCCACAGCACAAGGCCATCCCAGCTCCCCCCACCTCACCAGACACCCCTGTGCTGCAAGCAGACTGACTCCATCTTGGAAAACCTTTCTCACCATGTTTTGTTGGGCGTGGTTATCGGCACAGACCATTTGAACAGGTACCTGGTTTCCACCTCCCCCCCCCACACACACACACACAGCTGAGATTACTGGGCACAGTGACCACTCAGCACAAAACCGCTCTCAGCTGGTGAAGGGCGAGAGGTCCTGAAGTTGGGACCTGATAAGCAAAACAGGGGAGGGGTCTAAAAACCTGAAGCAAATTAGAGAGGCCAGGATTGATCGGGGAAGCTCCAGGCAGGAGAGCGGGCTCAAGTCTTCTCACCCTGGTTACCTACACCACCTGGTTACCTACACAATACGTAGGTCAGAAACTCCAGCTTAAAACAACACCACCTACTGGAAGAGAAGAGAAGAAGGAAGGAAACGGAATTCTAAGAGGTTTTTTTGTTGTTCCCTCCCGCCCCAATATTATCCTTCCTCTTTCTCTTCTACCCTTCTATCCTCTGGCTCTCAAAACTTCAATATATGTGAAACCAAGAACTTCACATGAAATAGAACTTTGAGAACTGAGTCACCTGAATAATATGATATAGAGAATTGCATAAGGCCTCCCCTTTTTAAAAATGTTTTTATTCTCTTTTTTCTTTCTTCTCTTTTTTTCTCTTTCTTTCTTTCCTTCTCTTTTTCTCTTCTTCTCTTTCTTCCTCTTTCACTCTCCAAATTTTACTATTTTAACATCCTGTAATTTTTTAAATACATATGTGTGTTTGTTTTTTTTTTGGTACTCTACTGTCCTCCCATGTACTTGTCTAACCTAAATTAGTTCCTCTCTATTCCCCTGCTACTAACACTTTTCATTAGAGTTCTCCTTCAAATTTCCTAAGTTATATTAACCCCATACCCTCACATCTTTCCCTCTTACCATAGCATCCTATGCCCGACCCCCAGTTCACTGTCCACCACCAGAAACTGTACACCTTTTATAAAACTACTGATTATATTTTAAATAATAATGGAATCCAACATTTCTGGACATTGAGATTAACTATAAATGTCTTAATATCAATAATTTGTTCATAGGTGATATACTGTTGATATTAGGCTCTGATAACATTGTCCTTCCCCACAAAGGAGGGATCTTGGAACCATACAAGAGCAATACAAATCTATACGGTAAAAATAATAATACTCCAGTCCCACAGAGCTGAAAAGAAAGAAATGTGAGAAACATGAAGAGATAAGGGAAGAAAGTACCACAAACAATTCAAGACAACGCATCATTAGAAGAATTGACAGCTATTGCAGAAAGAATGACAGGGAAAGATTTCAGGATATACATGATTAAAATGCTTTGGGATCTCAAAGAAGACATTAGAAAATAAATACAGGCAGTGAAAGATCACTTTGAAAATGAGCTACATAAACAAATCCAAGAAGCAAAAGATCACCTCAACAGGAAGATAGAGGTTATACAAAAAA